GGCTCTCATTTTGGCTCTGAATAACCTATATTTATAACATATAACAAGATGCATTTTATTTTTTAAGAAGAATCAAAATAGCATAGATAGACTTAATTATTACTTTTTAGAAACTGGCATCTGGCCTCCACTAAACACATCTCTTTAAAAGGTATACTTCCCACCATATCCACCTCTGTCCACCCAAATGTTCAACACAATTAAATATCAGGAGGTGGACCCTATGGACAAAAGCACCGAGTGAGGTATTTATCATGAAGACAAATCCTCCAACTCAGTTATTTTATCAACTAAATTGCAATGTATTTAAATTTCATATTTTCTTCCTTGCTAAGAATATTCTAGGTAGCCTATATGTAAAATTCCTCTTTGTGATTATCGAATAAAAGGCTAACAAAATGTTCAGCTTCCATCTTAAGTACTTATGATATTCTTTAATAAGAGAAGGCAGTAAAGTTTCATGACCAGACTCCCAGCCCAAGGACTATGACCGTGCATTTAAATGTAAATAGATAAAGCCACTTACTTTTTCAACAAAGGACATTTTCTCCACTTTTGCCAATTCAAGCTCATTCTCTAGATCCTTGTAAGCATTCTGCAGTGCTGCTAAGGTATCCTGCGAACTGTCATTTTTGGATTGCAACACTTGGATCTTCTGTTCCAATTCCACTGTCAGATTTCCCAATTCTACTTTTTGCTTCTTCCAAAGCTGCTGCTCTCCTTCCACCTGGGACAGTCTAGAGGCCAGCTGCTCTTGGTCTTGAATTTGACCTTTTAGTCTACTGATTTCTTCATCCTTCTTCTCTAGTTTATGTTTGCCATCTTCTACTTCTTGAATGAGGACACTCACAGAAGATTGCAAAATAATGTAATTATTTTTGGCCTCATCAAGGCCTTGTACCAACTGAGCCTTCTCTAGTTCAAGACAATCAATCTGACTGCTTAGATCCTGTTCTTTGGCCTTACAGGTCTCTCGGTCATTACACAAGCCTGTCACTTTCTCGTTGAGCTCTTTCAATTGTATCTGAAGCACCTCTACTGCACTGTTAGAGTCTTCTTTCATCTGGACTATTTCTTGCTCTTTTTCTTGCAATAGATTTTCAAACGAAGAATTCAGTATTTCTAATTCAGACACTCGCCCTTGCTGTTTTTGTAATTCTTTGCCCAGATTTTCTTTTTCTGACCTTATATTAACAAGATCTAATTCCATATCTCTCAGGTTTTGAGCCATTCCTTCTATTTTTGCTTTTAGGGTCTCTGCCTCTGCCTTGGAATTCTCTGCCTCAAGAAGCGCACGCTCTTGGTTTTTCCCTGATATCTCTAGCTCTCTTTCAAGGTTCTCAGCTCTATCCTTAAGTAAATCAGCATGATGCTCACTTTCCTTCAGTTGTTCTAAGACATGGAGCTGCCTCTTTCCATCAGCTTCTATGCCGGCCTTCAGCTTTTCAACGCTATCTCTCAGCCGATGCACTTCCTCCATGGGTGAGTCCAGACTCTGTTCTTTGGCCTTCCAGGTTTCTTGGTCACTACACAAGGCTGCAAGTTCCTCATTCAGCTCTTTCAACTGAACCTGAAGCATCTCCGCTGCAGTCTTAGATTCTTCTTTGATCTGTATTTTCACTTGTTCCTTTTCTTCTAAGAGAGTTTTAAGTGAAGAGAGCAGCTTGTCTAATTCTGACACTTGATCTTGTTTTTCTTGTAGTGCTTTTGTCAGATTTTCTTTTTCAGATCTTACCAAGCCAAGGTCTGATTCTAAAACTTTCAGGCTGTCGGCCATCTCTTCCATTTGTGTTTTTAGAGTCTCTACCTCTGCTTTGGAATTCTCAGCATCAAGAATCACCAGCTCTTGGTTTTCTTCTGACATCTGCAATTCCCTTTCAAGGCCCTCCACTTTATCCTTAAGCGAATCGTTCTCCCTCTCGCGTTCTTTCAGTTTCTCTGCCACGTGGAGCTGCTTCTTTTCATCGGCCTGGATACGGACTCTCAGTTTCTCGATGCCTCTTCTCAGCTGATGTACTTCCTCTTGCGTGGAGCTCAGCCTCTCTGCAAACTCGCCCTTCTCCAGCAGTGCAGCCTCCAAGGCCTTGGAGATGTTCAACTTTTCCTGTTCCGATTCACTCAGTCTGGCCTGCAGGCTTTCAGATTCCCTGCAAAGCGATTCTTTCTCTTTATTCAATTGTCCCATTTGGAGTTCCAGCTCACATTTTACCAAAGACAGTGCCTGCGAGTCCTTTTCCAAGCTCTGCAGCTGCTCCTGGAGGTGAGCTTTATCTTTTAACAGCTGGTTCACATCAGAGGACAAAGCCTGAATTTGTTCTGTTTTGTCCTTTACCTCTGCCTCCACCACCTGAATGTGACAGAGACACTCGCCTTGATGAGCCTCGAGCTCTCGTATTTTCTCCTTCATCTTTTCAGACAAGCGATCCAGTTCTTTGTTTTCTTTTGACACTGTATCTAATTCTCCGTGAAGCTGGTTTCTCTCACTGGAGACCACTGAGAGTTCTTCTTCAAGACCAGCAATAACGTTCTGCTTATTTTCATTATCTTTTTCTAAATATAGCTTCTCTCTTTGAATGATCTCTAAGTCAGCTTCCGCAGAGAGGGCACGATGCTCGATGCCAGCCTTCTCCGATCTGATCCTTTGCAGCTCATTTTCCATGTCCAGAAATCTCTCTCTCCACTTGTCATTCACCTGGGCTTCGTTGTCTTCAATAACTTCACGTGACGATGTATCTGTGCCCATTTCTAAATTAGAACTGAGGCCTTCCGAAGTTTCTCCTCTGTGGTGTAATTCCAGGTTATCACGAGAAAGAGATTCCAATTTTTCACTTAAATCTGAGTTGGCTTTCTTAAGTTCCTCGACTATTTTTTCCAGTTCTACATAGGCTTCCACTTTGGTCGCTAGTTGTGCTTCCTGTGAATCGAGTTTTGAGTCTAACTCTTTGATTTCATTTAGCAAACTTTCAACTTTTTTGTCACGGTCCTCTATCACATGAAGCAATCTCAAATTCTCATTTGATGTCTCTTCTACCTGCAGCTGAAGATTCTGGACGGTTACCTGATTCTCCAGAAAATCCATGGGTACCAAAGCATTAGGATCAGAAAACGACAATTCAGAAATGCATTCTGAACGGCCCTGGGTTTTGTCCTCTCCTGGAGTCCCATGACTGGTCTCTGGGGACTGCTCGCTAGGACACTCTCCTGGAAGTCTGACTGCACTGGTCTCTGTTATTTTCTCAGTCTCCAGACTGAGGTCCTGCTGAACATCTTTCTCACAAATCTGATGACTGTCATGCTTTGGTGTTCTCTCTGCAGTTTCCAAAGGATATTCTTCTGATTCTTTTACACCATGGCTCTCATTTTGGCTCTGAATAACCTATATTTATAACATATAACAAGATGCATTTTATTTTTTAAGAAGAATCAAAATAGCATAGATAGACTTAATTATTA